AAAAAAAAAAAAACAAAAAAAAAAACCAAATAGGTTTTGCAGACAGAGTTAAAAACACATTATCCTAATGATAGAAGAAAGTTCACAGATAAGAAAAAGACATGTTGGAAATTGCTATCGGTAGATGACAGGTACAAAGTATAATGACTGAAATATCAATTTCGTTATTTCAAAAGTGAGATTATGTTAATAAACTACTAAACTAAAAAAAATCCAAATATGTATAACCAAAATGAAGCATCTTAAAGAATACTATTAATTACTTATAAGGAACAGGAGTTAAGGCTTTGCCAACTAACTAAAGGGTAACATTAGGTTCACATGCCCACTACGTGAAATTGTGAACTATAGAAGAGGAGAAAGAAAAAAAAAAAAGACTCCTAATCTCTAATACCTTCCAGCCTGATAGCTGAGACGACTAGCCAATACAAAGCTATGTGATACTCATCTTCGGACATACAGATAAGAACTGGGTGTTCAGGAACATCAAGAAAAATAAAGACGATAGGAATGGAAATGAAAGGAATTAATATTCAGTGAGCACCTACTGTGTGACAGGATCAGTAGTATTAGGTGTCATATTTTCTTAGATAACATAGATATATTGTTACAGTGCTCGCTTCTGGCAGCACATGTACTAAAACCGGTAGGAAGATCAGCATGGCTCCTTGAGCAAAGATACATTGTTACATATTTATTACTTTATTTAATCCTTACAAAATCCCAAGAGATAGATAATATTCCCTTTCTACAGATGAAGTAACTGAGCCTCAGAGAAATTAAATGACTCATGTTCTTTCAGTTAATACAATGACAAAGGGTCATAACTGTTTCAATACAGCTTCAACAAGTCTTCAGCAAGACTTGAAAATTTAAGAGACCTAACTGAGTTGCAATGGGTCAAATGAAAAGAACAGCATGTGTGGTGACTCAGTAAAGATAATTAAGGGTGTCAAGGGGAAGGTAAAATAAATTTCCTTTGCCTGAGCATAAAGTACAAATAGTGGTTGAGAGGTGGATCAGAAAATTAGTTACGAGAACTCAGTAAGTCAAGTACTGTTAAAGGACTCATGTTCTAATCAATAATTTTACTTTGACCCGAGAAGCAAGGGGAAGTGATTCTGGGCTTTTGGGAAGAGAAATGATCAGATCACAATAATACTCGAGGAAGGTAATCTTGTGAAGCAGGAATCTAAAGAATTGTGTGAAGGTCTGAATAAGCGGGTTACAGAAAAGGAGTAGAGAGGATTCTCACACTTGATTCTAGTATAAAAACAAATGGAGCAGA